CATTGCTTTCGTGTACACATGTTATGACCCATGTTGATTCATCTCTAATTGATCTTTACCCTGGTTACTGATCCCCTTCTCATGATAACTTCTGTTGCTTTAAGGTTTCTGTATTAATTCCTCTGGAGTGGGGACATCAAACACTTTCATGTTTTGGGTTTTCTACCTATTCCTATAACACCAAAATGTGCTCTCCTCTTGTCATGTGATCCAAGTCCAACCACATTGCTGCATTTGCCCTAGATCTAAAGTCTGCATATGAGGGAGAACATACGATTTTTGGTCTTCTGAGCTTGGATGACCTCACTCAGAATGATGTTCTCTAGTTCCATCCATTTACCTGCAAATGATAAGATTTCATTCTTCTTCACGGCTGAGAAAAATTCCATTGTGTACAAGTACCACATTTTCTTGATCCATTCATCAGTATACTTTACTTTTTCTTAAAGGAATTATTCAACATTGTAATAAAGAGGAAAATAATACAAGAGTACAAAAACAGTTCAACTGTGGAACCATACTGTAAAAAGGAGTAAGAATAAGTGGTACTTAAAAAAAAAAAGTTAAGTGTTTTTAGCAGACGCATTAGTAAACAGATAAAAAAACTACTTGTCAACTAAAACTAAAGGGCACAGGAAAACATAAGAGGTAGCTAAGTGCTGTTAAAAAGCACCCTGAGGGCTGGGGAAGTGGCTCAAGTGGTAGAACATCTGCCTAGCAAGTAGGCTCTGAGTTCAAAATCCCAGTACCACCAATAAATGAATACTTTTTTTTTAAATAAAAAGCATTAAATATACTAAGTACAGAAAATCATCCCCAAGAAATGCTGGCAGAAGAAAAGTTAAACTCATCTTTCTGAGGAATTAAAATTCTTAATACCTGCTTGTGTACAGTTAACAGTAAAAAAGAAGGACACCTAATTTATAACTTCAACAATAGCAATTACCTACAACTGGTTCAGAGCAAAGTTGTTCTGGGAAGACTAGAATGCTGACAATCGTCTTCTCATCTTTGCTTTCAAGTTCCAAGAAGCAAACCGAACAGAGATTTACTGGTAAGATAGGGAAAACAGGGTAAGGGGGAGTGAAAGAAAAACAAAACCAATAGTATGTTCGTGTTGCAGCACATTTGCGGTGGCAAGTTCTCCTGAAGGTGGATATTGCACTTTTCAAGTTCAGCAAATACAGTATGAATCCAAGAAATAATTAATGGATTATCCACTGAAATAAATCAAGAAACTATTGCCTGTAAAAGCAACAGTTTCTCCCAGAGAGGTCAGTTAGACTAGAACAGCAGTTTCTGTAACTCTATTACAGTAGCTAAATATCTAAGAAGTGAAGCAAATATATACCAACAAAAATAGCTAACAGGAAAAAATGAAAGCTATGATGAATTTAAAATTGATTATTTATAGCAGATGCCAGAGGATCTTAGCCAGAGCTGTTTGAATCACTATCACAAAAAGGACTAGTGATGAATATACTACTCCCTCAAAGAAAGAGAAAGGTTAGTTTAGCATGGTAGTGATTTACCACAACCAGGGCATCTCCACTACAATCCCCAAATTTGGGGAGAAAATGTAACAGAACTGCAATAACTTTCAATCTGTACCATGTGGGATTACCAATTATAAATGTATCCAATTTTATTACAGCTTCAAATTCAGAGGACTGACAATAGTCAAACTAGCCCAGTTGGTGGGAGTGGTGCCACTTATCCTTTCCTGCCACAGTGCTTTTTATGCAACTTGACTATGAGTGGGAGGAAACTGGCACCAGAGCTCGTGCTGGCCTATGGCTTTATCTGCTTTCCCTCAGTTACAAAGCATCCTGCAAAACAGAACCATTTAAAACCACCAGGAGGTGCTAAGGAAAATACTCCCCTACCTTCCAGAGAAAGTCTTCAAGCTACCCAAAGCCAATGTCTGAAATATATCATTATACTTAAGAACTGCTACCACACTTAATGTAAGAGTGGCTCCAGGGAAAACACTTTGAAAGAGTACATTTTTCTTTTTAAAGTACTGCTGGGTAGGAATATACACTGAAAGTCCTAGTTTCCCTGAGTTAACTGGCTAGACTTATTTATTGTCTAAAACATTTAAATATAACATTTATAAATTACCTTTTTATTTTTGCAGTACTAGGGGACTGAACCTGACCCTAGCACATACTAGGTAAGCACTCTCCTTACCACTGAACTCTGATTACCTTCTTCTTTTTTTTTTTTTAAATTCTCCTTTCAGTCTCAATTGTCTCTGGGAGAATAATGACTTTCCAAAATTTATTTGCTATCGTGAAATTCTAGTTCCAATTATTTTTCCTGATGGAAACTCTTTTCTTCAAATACCCAGTGAAGCTCAAACAAGTGATTCTAGCTCAGTCCCCTCATTTTACAGATAAGGAATCCAAAGTCTGAAGGCCTATGTCACTGCCTTTCTGACGAGTTAAAAACTCAGTGTCAGAATGTGAACTCATGTCTCCTTCAAACTCCCTGGCCAGTGTCTTTTCTATCATATTCTACTAACCCAGCTATTAGAACAGCTCTTTATCATGTCACAGTTTCCTCATTTGCCAGTTCCCTGATTATTTTATCCCTTTGATATCATGATTTCACCTGAAGGATGGCATTTTAAGATGTACAGTCTAACTGGACATAGTGCCACAGTACCTGGTTTTGTAAGGTGCTCACATTTAGGGGAAAGTACTTCTTCTCTTCTTGCCCATGACAGAGGAAAATTAAAACCTTAGTGTTCATCAATAAAATAACCCCATGTTCTAACCTTAATATATTATGAAAGCTTTAAAAAGTCCTTGGTGGTGGCATTCTTACTTATATGCATTTGGTTCACATCTATAATGCAAATTGGGTATAAAAAGAAAGAAGTTGCCTGGTGCTGATGGCTCATTCCTGTAATCCAAGCTACTCAGGAGGCAGAGATTAGGAGGATCCCGGTTAGAGGCACGTTCAGCCAAACAGTTCTTGAGATCCTATCTACAAAATACCCAACATAAAAAAGGGCTGACAGAGTGATCCAAGTGGTAGAGCGCCAGCCTAGCAAGTGTAAAGCCCTGAGTTCAAACCCCAGTACCATCAAGAAGGGTAATTAAAAAAAAAAAAGAAAAGAAAAGAAAAAAAGAGGGAAGTTATTTCTCACCATCAGCTCTTCCACTAGATGAGGTGACAACTACTTACAAGGTAAATCTAACCCGAAGTACTTGAAAATTAGTGACATGGTGATGAAGAAAAATAAATATGGAAAAAACAGCCGGAATACTGCCACTCTGCCTTCTGAAAAATGTACAGCTTTCTCAAATTTTTAAGGAGCACAAATTTAGTCCTCTAAACCAAGTGCTCCTTAGGCGCTCCTTTCTGCTTTCCTTTGATTTAGAAATAAAGAAGTAGCTGTGTAGAGACTTCTTTTGAAGTTCATGGTGCCTATTCTTTACACAATATATTAACCAATGAACCTGGATCTGATGAGAGCCATTATTTTATCTTTGGTAGTCAAAAGCGAAGATATAAACAGCCCAAAATAAATACTTGAGGGCTTAATGATCAAATGAAGAGTTGTAAAGGGAAATTATTAAAGCAAATCACTTTTTAAACTTGGAATTTCTCTTAATGAGACGATTTCATTTTAAATGTACAACACTGCTATAGTATACAAGTATACTAATGTAAACATCGTATTAAGGGTTTCATATGCAATCCAAGCCCTTGGCCCTTAATCTTCACAACCTTCGACGGGAGGTATAATTATTTTTCATTTTGCACCAGAGAAAACTGGGGTAACTGGGAGGTTAAGCAACTTGCCCAAGCTTAAAAAGGTTGAACCCAGTGCTCCCTGGGCACTCCACTGCCTTCTTGGTAGCAAAGAAAAATTTGAAAATAAGGTCAAAGTCAAGTTCTATTTGATGCATTATCCAATCCACTGCGAATTATTTTCTTCTCTGGGGTCAAGAAAAGTTTGCCATCTACACTTCCTAATTTTACCTTAAGTGGGTGACACAAATGAAGTGTTTTTCTTACCATAATTATTGCATAGTTGCATAGTCACCAAAACTCAAAAGGAAGAGGACTGGTTAAGTTCTCAAACTCTTATTTCCTGCTGGCCTAGATCTTACTGTTGAATCTAATACGCTCAATTTTAAGTGTTAACATTTTCCTGGTGTACTAAGACATTAAGTTATGTTCAATCTCAAGGGAGTCAACTATGTATTGGTCATTTTATCTGTCAGGGAAGTTAAAAGCAGGTCAACAAGACATACGCCTGGGATTTTAAAAAAACATTTTTCCTGACGTCTAAATTAAAACGAATGGAACAAGAGGCCCACTAAGAAGGAAGAGCGGTGGAAAAGTTAGCGAAGAACCGCAAGAAGCTAATGGCGTTCTACTTTCACTAGCGTTAGAAACGCAAAGGGTGAGTGTCTCCAGTAACTTCGGCCTGACCACAATGGCCACTTGTTACACCTCCAACCCACTCCAACACTGCAGGTTCCTTAGGAACTAAAAGCAGTCCAGCAAGGTCAGAGACACCCGGGCCAGGCCTGAGGTCCGGGTCTACCCCCCGATGGGCAGAGGGGCCAGGGTACTGCGTCCCCCAACCCTAAGCCTTCCCTACTGCCTTGGAGGCAACGCTCACAGCCTGGAACCGAGGCAGCCCTGCAGGGCAGCGGTCAGCTCCCGACCGCACGCCCCTGACCAAAGCCTCGCACCCAGGGCTGGGGACATGGGCACGGGCAGGAAAGGGAGGAGCTGAGCAGCAGAGAAAGGGGCCGAGGGGACGCTGTGCAATGAGGAAGGGTCCTTGCCCAGCCTCGCCAGTGGGACGAGGGCCCAGGCCAGGAGGGAGCCGGCCGCCGCCATGATGGGGCTGGCAGAGTCAAAGGGGGGGCGTGACGCGGGCGACCCCGCGCACAGGGCCGGCTCCCTTTGCCCCCTCCCCGTCCTTCCCTCCCCCGCGCGGGCCTCGGCCACAACTGCCCCCCGATACTCACGCTTTGTCCACCAGCTCCCGCACCTTCCACATGTTCAACATCGTGCCCCACGTCGGCCGGGTCGCCGCCTTCCTTCCTGCTCCCCACGGGCCACGGAACACTTCCGCGCCGGGGCAGGTCCAGGCCGGGGTCGCCGCCGCCCGCCGCCTCGAACTCCCCAAGTCAGCTCCTTCCCTGGCCACAGCCGCGGCGCCTCCAGTGACACGTCGAGACGCGGCGGCAGAGGGGCTGCGTGAGCGGAAGTGCCCGCCTTTTCCGCTCGTGGCGCGCGCTGCACGCCGGGACTTGTAGTTCTCCTTGAGCGCGGAGCGCGGGCGTGCGCGAAAGGCGAAGTTCTCGCTGCGCTGCAGCAGTGAGGCGCGGGGCGGGGGGCCATAGGAAATCCTCCAGGTGATTCTGATCCGAGCGTCTGGTGTAAAGATGCAGCACATTCACTCACGTGTAAAGCCTTGCGGTTATTAGTGTTCATACCGAAGTGTGATGTGCATTCTTCATTGATTCCACGTCGGTGTATTTGCTTCCTAACGTGCAAACATACTTAATATGTCTGAACCTTAGTTTCCACGCTTGTAAATTGAAGTTGTATTGTAAATCCATTTCCATCTCTAATTTTGTGATACAATGATTTTTATATTTAGAAAGCTACCTGATATGCAGGTTAGATACTTTAAGGCTCAGAAACTGTTCACACTCCGTGGGGAACTAGAAAGTCAACACTGTACACACACATATGCGTGCATATTCATTTTGTGTAGGAAACTTTTTGGCGTGAAGAATAGTTTGCCATCTGCACTTCCTGATTTTACCTTAGGTGGGTGGTACAAATGAACTGTTTTTCTTACCACGCTTACTGCGTACTCACTAAAACCCAAAAGGAAGAGGACTGGTTAAATTCATAACACCTATTTCCTGCTGGCCTAGAAGATTTTACTAGGCAAGCAGTCTACCACAAAAGCCACATCCCCAGCCCTTTTTTGCTTTAGCTATTTTCCAGGTAGGGTCTAGGTGGTTTTTGTTTTGTTTTGTTTTTTGGCCAGGGCTGGCCTCAAACTGTGATCCTCCTGATCTCCAGTAGCTGGGATTGCAGACGTGAGTCACTGAGCCCAGCTAGGTTTGCCTTTTTAAAGAGTAAGTATACACACTGCTTTCAGGGTTTCCTTGCAGTTTTTGTCATCACTTCATTTTCACTTGTTCATTTCTGTCAATAAAGCTTCAAGTAACCTTAAATTTCATTTTGTCCAACTCCTTACATTTTATAGTTTTTTCATTCTGCAGGTATTAAGCATCTTCAGTGTGCCAAAAGTGGCGATACAGCTGGAGCCCCAGTTCTTTTGGATCTTAAAGGTTACTGAAGGAAACGAATGGTAATCAAGAAAATGTTTACTTGCAGATAGTAAGTCCTTGAGCAAAACAAGAAGGTAATGTTAGGGACAGACAGCAACATTAGAGGCAAATAACATTAAGGAGTATGTAGAGCCTCTTTGAGGAGATTATATTTAAGCTAATACTGGAATGATACAAAGGAGCCGGGCATAACTAAAGATCTGTGTGAAAAGAATTATGGGTGAAAGGAACAGAGGAAGACTGATTCACAGAGAAGTGAACTTGATGGTTGTTATAGTTGAAGCTAAGTAACAGTGGTCCCATGATCCTTCAAATGAAGACACTTCTATTTGCACTTGTTTAGTTATTGGAAGCAAGCTTTGAAAAGCTTTGGGAAGCCCTGAGAGAAACAAGTTGAAGGAATTGCCAGACCCAGAAGTACAAAGTGCAGAAATCCAGGCCAAACTAGCTCAGATTTTTGTTAGGAACACTTGAGATCACACAAAGTGAGTTGGAGCGGTGGGTGGGGAGAGTGGGGAAAGAGGAGCCAAGATAGGTAGGGGAATGGTGTTCTCAAATGAAAAATGTGTTTCCTGTTGAAAGGATTGTCCAGCCCAGAGTTCAAAGGATGGAATGTGGCCAGAGAAGATAAAAGGAACTACTTTGCATAAATAAGAGCTCAGTAAGTTAACTTTCAAACAAACAAGTCCAGAGTACACCTGCAGTGTGGGCTCAACACAAAAATAACAAACTTCCTCCACCCTGGGCCTGTATGGGTGTTCATAGCCAGCCTCACCAGTTATCCCAAAAATACAATGTTGGTGTCTCATATTCTCATTCCAGGTTTGGGTGTATGTACACTTAATCTTGTCACCTGTGGCATTTTCACAATCTGCCAGGGCCATCTAGACTGTACCAAAACCCTTCCTGTCCACCTTTAATTCCAGACAGCCCCCAAAGAAATACCTACCCTGGAGAGTTTGTTCAAAAGTGATCTCCAGAGACGAACCATTTGCATGTCCACAGAGGGTTCCATTTTTACCTTTTATCTCGCAAGGTTGAGAGTAGTTTCCATAGTAACTTCTTTGTGGCAATTTAAGTATGTCATGGTAGAAAAAATGTCCTATCCACCAATCTTTAGGAAAACATACTTTCCATTAAATGACCCTTTTGGTAAGGCTAATCCAACACATGCTTTCAAAGAAAACATATTCAGCTGTGCTAATTACTTGGGAGGCACAGTTGTAACCCATGGACACTGACTGCCTAGCTTGTGTGGTTGGCTCCTGGGTGTTTCCTTGGGAGAAGTTTAATTCATGGTACACAGGTATGGCAGCCATGGGATGACCCCATTCAGATCTCCATTTAGGAGAACCACTTGTGAGAAGTGACATTGGTGACACTTAACAGCCTCTCCTGGGGGGTCATTGATGTCAAAGGCATGCTGGAGCTGGGCCAATTCCACCCAATGCTGCATCCCTGTCCTGGCTAATTATTGCCCTGGGCTGCTCAATTTCCTCAGAGATGTGTTGTAATCACACAACCCAATCTTCCTTTCTCCTAACCTAATCTTCCTTTCTTCTCTCCCTTCATGATGCCAGAACTGCTTTGAAACTTCTCCCTGGTCTTACTACCCTCTCCCCACCCCATAGACTTTTCCCACCAATAAATCTCTGTACTTCTAATTCCATCTTGGCTTCTGTTCCGCAGTATCCAACATGACCCAGCAGACAAACCTATAAACCTTGGTTTCCGTATTTGAGCCATGGGTCTTGTGTTTGATCGCCCTGACTCTTCCTCTTTAGAAGTAAGGGTACTTGGTACCTAAAAATGTTATAAGGGCCACTACAAAATATCACTTGGGTTACATATTGTGTAACCCCAGGAACACTATTCATTGGTCTCTCATGAACTGCTAGACAGCCACAGATAGGAAGAACAGTGTTAAAAAGAATGCAGTCAGACAGACCTAGGCCCAATTCTGCATCTAGTACTCAGAAACTTGGCTCTGAATAAGTTAATTAAATTAGCGTAGTATAATGGGTGTGACTTTGGAGCCAGCTTGCTTTTGTTTGAATCCTTATTTTGCTGTTTACTAGCTCAGGAAAATTATTTCACATCTCTGGGCCTGGGTTTTTTCATCTTAAGAGGAGATAATAGCAACCTGTCTTGAAGGCTTTGGGGCAATATTTTTAAAAGAACTACTAGTATTTACTATAAAATTAACACTCAGTAAATGTTGGTAACACTGCTACTACTACTCTACTACCAGTAAAAATAGTAATTGTTGCCAGGCACTGGTGGCTCACACTTATAATCCTAGTTACTTGGGAGGCAGAGACCAGGAATATCATGGTTCAAGGCCAAGTCAGACCAAAAACTTCACAAGACATCATCTCAGTTAATAGCTGGGTTCAGTGGGACACACCTGTCATCTCAGCTATGTGGGGAAGCACAAATAGGAGGACTGCAGTCCATGCCTAGGTATGAAGTGAGACCCTGTTTCCAAATTAACCATAGCAAAAAGGACTGGGGCGTGGCTCAAGTGGTAGAGTGCCTGCCTAGCCAGTGTAAAGCCTTGAGTTCAAATCCTAAGACCACCAAAAAAATTTATTATTGATCTGTGAATTTCACCCAATATTCAAGCATTTAGCGTTAGGTGGTGGTTACACAATTGTAGATGTAACTGACACAGTAAACAAATAGATGTTTAATAGGTAAACGGTAAATTCAAATTGACATGATGAGTATTAAATGGAATAATATATGTAACTTCACATTGAGTTGTACATGTAGTAAATGCTCAGTGAAATTTACCTCATTAACTTTATCAAATTCCTTCTGTGGATCTCAGCTTTTTCCTTTTAAGCTGAGGGTTTAGTCTATAGGAGTATCCTAAACCTAGGCATACATCAGAAATTCAGGGACACCTTTAAAAACATCAGATTCCTTTATCTCACCTCTTGAATTTCTGATTTTGTTTATTTCCTACACTTTCGGTTGCAAGTGACCAAAACTTGCAAGGGCTGGGATATAGCTCAGTGGTAGAGCACTTGTGAACATGCATGAGGTGAAGTCCTGGGTTTGATTCCCAGAACCACAAAAAAATGTAAATTAAATAAAAAGTGGAGCAAGGGAATTTATTAACACAGGAAACTGAGGAGTATGGAACTCAACAAATTTGATGAGATCTTTCTCTCTCATTCTCATTTTATTTTATTGTAGGTAGGCTTTTCTAGTTGGGAGGAAATACAACTACCACCCTGTGGGAATAGGTGCCATTTGTTTTCAATTAAGCATCCAGGAGGGAACAAAGGTTTTTTTTCCTTATCCATGGAGTCTTACATCACAGGTGAGAACTCTGATTGGCCCAGCTTGGATCACATGCATCTCTCTGGGCCAATCACATTAAGGCAAGGCAACACTGTAGAATTGGTAGCCCCAGTAGAATAGAACCACACTGAGTAGGGAAAGATGAGTTCTCTGAGGAAACTCTGAAAAAGTCATGCCTTGACAGACAAAAGCAAATGGTGTTTACAACTGCAAGTCTAAATTGAAACCTAGGAATGTACCTATGAAACAAAACAAAACCCAAGATGCTATTTGCCAGAGCTTGGGATGCACTGGACTAGATGACACACTCCTTCCTAGCTCTCTGAATTCCATAAACATAGCTGGGTTAGGAAGCCCAAAAGAGAAAAGAGTCATGGGGAATAACAGAAATGAAAAAGAACAATAAAGAAGAAAGGAACTAAGGCCTGTGACTCCCAGCATTGGGCAACAGGTAAGCTGATAGCAGGGCATATCCTGGCTCACTCTCTGACCTGCTGACAGGTGGGCTTGGTCGAAATTCAATCCCTTTCAGGACCCACAGCAGAGCTCAAGTGGGCCTACTCAGAAAGTCTGCTAGATACT